TGTGATAAATACCTTATGCATGTTACCTCCCTGTTTTTCCAAATTTTAGTTATTTGAGTATTACCTTTATGATTTTTGGTCACATCACTGTATGTCCTGAATATTCATTCATTTAATAAATATGTTTCTTTAAACTTTCATTAATGTATTTAATTTAAATATGCTTCAAAAATAAACCTGGAAAAAACTGCAACTAATATCCCTCATAGATAAAGAGTTTTAAAATTAGAGAAGAAAAAGACCAGCAAACCTAAGGAAAAATGTGCTGGAGAAGCAAACGTTCAGGCCACAGAAAATTAACAACAGACAGCTCTTATTCATATGGGGATGCTGAGAAAAGACATGCTAATTAAAATTACCCACAGATAATACTTCTACTGATGAGACTGACAAAAATCTAAAGGCTTGTTGACATACTCTGTTGGAAATACTGTACAGAGCAGGCGCCCGTTCACTCTTGGTGATGTTGCAAAATGGTAGAAATGCCAGGGAGGGAGATGTGGGAGCGTTTCCCAAAATTACACAGCATTTACCCTTTGGCCCATCAATCCTACTTCTAGAAACCTATCCCAAACATACACTGGCAAAATTACATAAGGACATAAGCACAAACCAGGGCTTTCTGTAACAGCAAAAGACTGAAAATAATCCTAGGTCCATAAATAGGGGGCTGGGTGAATAAACTATAATACAGCCACTCAGCGGAGAACTATTCAGCTGTAAAAAGACATAAGAAATAGCTCTATAAACTACTATGGAGTGATCTCTAATATATGTTATTATGAGCCCTGGTGGCAAAAGAGTTAAGTGCTCAGCTGCTAACTAAAAGGTTGGCGGTTAGAACCCATCGGCCGCTCCACGGGAGAAAAGACCTGGCGATCTGCTTCCGTAAAGATTACAGTCTGGGCGACCCTGTGGAGCAGTTCCACTCTGTCCTACAGAGTCACAATGAGTCAGAATCGACTCAACAGAACACATCGACAACAACCACGTGCTATTTCATCTAAGAAAGGGATGGGATACAAATACACATATATATACACTTACGGGGGAAAAAAAAAAAGACAAACTGTACCTTTTTTTTTAAAGATTACTTGCGCAGAGAAGGCGGGAACAGAGGAGAAAAGGCAGGGAAAGAGGCACGGCTTCGATAAATATACCTTGTTTTGTAGATTTGAATTCGGATCCATATAAATGTTTTACGTATTTTCTTTTTCTGGCTATCTACTGAAATCGCTTAAAACCAATGACCAACACAGTGGCAATGAACCCCTCTAGCACACACACGGAGGTTTCCAGGCCTGATTCAGGAATTGTAAAAGATGATCCTTTAACATCTTGCAATAACCATGCACCAAGGAGACGATCAAAGATTACTGAAATCAATGATGGGACAATCTGAACATCGCTAAATAAAATAACTTAAACCTTACCACGGGTTACGTTAATAAATGGAGAGGTGTTTCTCTTTATAGAAATATTCTGGGTAATAAAAGAATGATAAATTAGAGTATCCTCATTTTTCAATCCTTAATGAATGAATGGACCTGGTATTGATCACCAACCAGATATTATGTGCCTCCTGGGAAAGGCTACAGAACAAATGACCCAGGCTCTTTGACAAATAATTTGCAAGGAACAAGTGTACAAATGAACAAAGATATTCTTTACATACTGATAAAGAATGATCTCTAAGATAGAGGTGAAAAAAGTAATTAATGAATAGTGTTAACAGTATGCTACCTATAAGTCAAAAAAAGAAAAAATATGTAAATAGAATTTTGTTACATAATCATAAACTATTTCTAAAAAGATTCACAAGAAAGAAAATGTTAACTGGCTGCTTCTCAGGCGGCGGGGATACAGTGATATACAGGGCACTTTTACTATAAACCCTTTCGTACCTTTTGAATTGTTGAAACATGCGTATCTCTTACATAAACAAAAAAAATTAAATGGACCAAAACTATAAATAAGACAATGACAGGTAAGATCATGACATTATAGCTGTGTAAGGAAATGTCCTTATTTATCAGAACTGAATACTAATCTATTTAAAAAAAAAAAAAACCCATTGCTGTTGAGTTGATTCCGACTCACAGCGACCCTATAGGACAGAGTAGAACTGTCCCAAAGGGTTTCCAAGGAGTGCCTGGTGGATTCGAACCGCCAATCTTTGGTTAGCAGCTGTACCACTTACCCACTACGCCACCAGGGTTTCCAGTTATCTATTTAGGAGTAAGATATCATACCTATATACTTTGAAAAGCAAAAATGTAGATAAGCAGATACAGAAAAATGCAAATGATTTTTAAATGTAAGTTTTGAGTGTATGGGTATTCATACTATTTTGTCTACTTTTCTGTATGTTTGAAAATTTTCATGACAAAAAGTAAAACAAAACTTCTTAAATGTAATGAAAATAAAATATTAAATTCTAGCCACACACCACCTATGGAAGACCTTAGCCTAAGGCCTACTCTTTCTTTACTAAAATGCATGAGTTTCACAGACTAGCCACAAACCAAGGCTCTCCTTGACGTAATCAAGAGTGACTTTAAACTGAAGAGAATTTAGATTATTTCCAGGCGACCCAATGAACCATAATCTAAAGTGGTCTGCTGAATGCCCCACTTGAGGAAACAATGGATCATTTCACGTGATCCTTTGGATCACCCTATGAGGGAGACACTATGTTTATCTCCATTTTACAGATAAGAAGTGGGGCTGGAAAGGATTAGCGATCTGCTCAAGGTTAGCCAAAACCACCAAAAAGAGAAGCAACTGATGAAGCCCAGGTCCCTCTGACACAAAGCCACACAAAGCCATCTTTCTAAACCACTCAGTTGTAGGAACAGCGCTGTCTGAGGCTCAGAAGGCTCCAAGGACCCAGTAGTGTCTTCTGTTCGAGAAGAACTATTGTTATTCAACGTTCAGAATTTTCTAGAAGCATGCTCTGGAGTCATTTACACACTGAAATAAGCTGACTGGCTGCTACATGGGTCAAAGCACAATTCTGTCCATGAGTAAAAGCATTCAGCCTTGGTTTTCAAAAAGCATGTTCTAATTAAAATCACAACCCACATTTTACAGTTATCAAAACAGCAATAATTCTTTATAGCAATGTAGCAAACACAGAGCTTTAGTCTCATAGTTCAACTTAAGTACACGTTAAAATGAAAGAGACTCATTTTGAAATCTGAATACCTTTTAAACAGTGACACTTCTTGTTCTGCCTCCTTCACGGAAGAGGGAAAAGAGATTTTCATTTCTCTTACCAAAACTGGCAAGACTGGTACCAAAAGGACCAATGAGCTGCAAACAAGCAATAAACCAGCTTATGAGAGTGGACCTCCAAGCTGCCATGCATGCTATCACCCGGACACACGGGCCCACTGTTTCCTGAGGCCCAGTGGGTCCTCCTAATGCGAACTGTTGAGTATCCATGTCAGTAACAGCACAGCCAGGATCTTTACTTGTGACAGAATCTGGCTTATGAAGTTGTGCCACTGTCAAGAAATTTTTGGAGATCTTGGGGATCTAGCCACGAACTCCATCTCTCTGAAGTAACCCCAACTCACACATTAACCTGTGTCAGTGTGGTTGTTCAATCTTGTAGCTAAAAAGGACAATCCGCCAGCACTCAGTGAGAAGTCAGCAGATGTGAAGTGTTATTATCACCGCATACTTGGCTCTGGCTGCCCATGAAGTGACTAGAGAGCCATGTCCATGTTCACAAGGAACACTTGCCCCAGGGACGATCCAGGTTTTGTGGGCCCTAAAGCCTGTACAAAACCCTGGTTGGTATAAGCGGTTAACATACTCGGCTGCTAACTGAAAGGTTGGAGGTTCAAATCCACCAAAAGGCACCTGGAAGAAAGTCTGGCTATCTACATCCAAATAATAATAACAACAACAAGAACAATAATAATAATAACAAAACCAGCCATTGAAAACCCCGTGGAGCACAGTTCTACTCGAACACACATGGGGTCGCCATGTGGTTTGGTTTTGCGTTTGGTTTGAAATCTATAAAATGTGTAGGCCTTCTTTAAGAAACAGTTAGGCACAAAAGTAAATATTTATAAGGTGCTCTTGCAAGCGAAGAGCCTTAAAGTTTAAACTTCATTAGTTGTACATTAAATATACTTTTATCCCAACCATATAAAATGGCCAGTATTTATCTTATTTTTTATGCAAATAACATGCAACTTTTATGTTTGTTTGCCAACCACGTGTTGCTGTAAAAAAAAAAAATATTAGCATAGTGTGCTTAGGAAAATACCTTGCAGGGGGAGGGCACGGTTGACAAACAAATGTAGAAAGTGTGCATTATTTGTGTAAAAGTACGTTAACCCATTTTGACCTACCAAAATGGCACTTCTTGTGGCTGAACTAGTACACGGCTGAATTGCAGCTTCAGTACAGGCTGTGTAGTTCACTCAACAGTGTATGAGAGTTCACCACTGGTGAACTGACCTTTCTGCAGTCATTAAAAATAACCATCAAGACTCTTACAAGAGAGTTTATCAAAAGTTAGAGGGGGTGAAACAATACCGATCATTTCGTTCATTATGATTGCATTTTAGAAATAATACTTACAGATAGGAACAAAGAAAATATGAAGATGTAAACAAAGAGCATTTTTGTATTGGGATGGTAGGGATGTGGGTTATTTCCCCCCCTCAACTAAATATTCCAAAACTTGTGTTAAATAGGAGGAACAAAAGGGAAAAGTGAGCAGGAGAAGTGGGATAAGGAGAAGGAACAGAGACCTTAGATACAACTGTCTGCTGTGACCATTAATTACACACTTAGCATCTGTGTATACATCACCACGCTGAAACATCTCTTAAAATTTATTTCCCAGACTGAAGACAAAAGCCAGCTGAATGAATGAGAAATGTTATAACCCTGAATTCCTTCTGTTTGCAATAACACAGGCATTTGTTAGCAAGCCATGTCTTGGCACGATAAATGGCAAACTGCAGTGAACTTACTTTTTGCTTGCCTCACAGACATCTGTAATATTGGAGAAAAGATGGTGACTCTCTGTCTTGGTCATGGTGTCGCTCAATTCTTTAGAATTTTTAAACATTCGTATCAATATCTCCAAGCTGAGTAAATATGAATGTTCAGAGGATATGACTTCAAAGATAGCCTGGTAAAAAGGAAAAGAAAAGGTATTAATTCTTCTTATTAAAGAATGAAATAAATATACTTCTCATAATTCTTCTATAAGAAGGCCATATATCCTGAAAAGCACAGAAAAATGAGCATTGATAAAACTGTATCCCCAAACTACTCTCTTTACGCAAGGCACATACACCCCAAATCTCCAGAAACAGTCACCGACTGTATCATGCATGTGGAAAAAATGAAAGCACTTCAATGACTTGAGATTGCATCTTGAGGTCATGCCTTTGCCATGGGGTAGAATCTATGGAAGGAAGTGAGAGCATGCCATAAAATCTCAGGGTGACACTAATTAACCTTTGAGGTCATCTCCTCCAAGCCTGCTTTCAAAGCACGCTGCTTCAGGGACAGTAGGGATTTATGGCCACCACTTGGGATTCAGAAACAAATTTCTCACAAATACATTCCTTTGCTACCCTCTCACGTGTACTGTTTCTCTCCCTATGTTTTAATCCTACTAATCTGTGGGCAATAATAGCACATTTTCTGGCTGTACTAGGAGAGCATGATTGTATCTACCCACAAAAGGTTCTTATCAGCCACAGAAATTCTTTTATATAAGCCCATACAACTGAAAAGCATTCCATCCATTCAACAAGCCACCCTCTCTGCTCTCGTCAGTGTCTCAGGAAGGAACGAAGGATCCTCTACTGGAACTCTTGGTGTCAGGCTCACAGTGGTCTTCCTGATCAGCTCCCGTTAATGATGAATTGCCAACCCATGTATATGGATAGACACCAACGGCCTGTGTGAGGAATCCATCTAGCTCATCAGCAAAATCAAATTCAGATCTTCCAAAGAATGGCAACACAGGGAGAATGCCTCCTCAGGGCGGGATGGTGAACATCTTCTTAGGCCTGAGATTCACATTCTTTCCGGAGACCTTCCCAGTAACACTACTATCGTCACCCTGGCATGTAGATGCCTTCTCTTCAAGCCCTTGGCTCAAAGGGGGACGGAGGCTCTTCCCATAATTCCCTGCTCAAAAGCTCTTGGCTCAAAGGGGCATAGTAGTTCTTCCCATAATTCCCTGTGGTACGACTGAAGCAGTCAGGAAATCTAACGATGCACTGCATTGGGCAAATCTACTGCAAAAGATCTCTTTAAAGAGTTGCACCTGACCCAAGCTATGGTGTTTTCAATCGCCTCATACGCATTTGAAAGCTGGAGAGTGAATAAAGAAGACCAAAGAAGAACTGATGCCTTTGAATTATGGTGTTGGCGAAGAATATTGAATATACCCTTGACTGCCAGAAGAACAAACAAATCCATCTTGGAAGAAATCCAGCCAGAATACTCATGAGGAGCAAGGATGGCAAGACTTTGTCTCACATACTTTGGACATGTTATCAAGAAGAACTAGTTCCTAGAGAAAGACATCATGCTTAGTAAAGCAGAGGGTCAGCAAAAAAGAGAAGACTCTCAACGAGATGGATTGACACAGTGGCTGCAACAATGGGCTCGAGCATAACAATGATTGTGAGGATGGCGCAGGACTGGGCAGTGTTTTGTTCTATGGTTCACAGGGTCGCTGTGAGTCAGAATCGACTCGACAGTACCTAACAACAATAACTAAGGTAGATGGGAAATGATAGGACTGAGAAGAAGAATGTAGGACTTACACTTTATCAAGAAAGTTTTCTTTACTTTAAAAAATATGAAGAAAAAATTGTAAATGTATATGCATGGACCTATATACATACATACTAACATGTATAAGATAAGAGGAAAATATTTTGAGAATTTCATGATATTATTACAATAACTCATTTTCTTAAACCATATGGCTAAAATCCTATTATTATCTGTGCTTTCCTTTTAATAAAATTTTTATTTTGCAATAATTGTAGATTTACAGAAAACTTGCAGAGAGAGTTCAGAATTCCTGTATACTCTTCATCCAGTTTCCCCTAATATTTTTATCTTATATAACCAGGGTACATTTGTCAAAACTAAAGAAATTACCATTGGTACAATACTATTGGCTTTATTCAGATTTCACCAGTTTTCCCACTCAGGTCCTTCCCAGATGTAGGATCTGTTTTGTTTTCAACACAGATTTTCCAGTTTAAAATACCTGGACCAGGTGCTTTGTTTTTTTTAAATGAAAATGATATTGGAATATTTAACTTTTTTATTTTCTGGGAGCTTATCTGCAGTTTCTCATTTTCTAATGTATTAATGATCACATGCTGCTTTTGTAAAAATAACAAAATAATTATGTTTTCAAAGGACAACAATGAAAAGCACACACAGCAGGTAAGAGCCTGGAAGCCCAGGTACCCACACCCACCCTTCAGAGCTGAAAAGCATCTGCTCAGTAGAAAACGTACCTCTTGCCTCTTTCTTTCCTCCTGGCTAACTGTCCGAGAGAGTCCATTTCTTTTCACCTGGGGAGAAAGCAAAGTAAGTCAAACACATTTACTTTAACAAACAATTCCTTTACTATACAAGGCATGACTCTATGACCTTCAAAAATGAATTAAGTGGAATGAGACAAGATATTGAACTCAGCACACACTGATTTTTAATTGGCATTTATATCCACAAATAATATTTAATCACATTAGTAAACTAGCATAGTTAACAGTAAAGAACTGAAAAGTGTCTTCATCCTACCAGGCTGAGTTATTTTTTTGAGGGTGAGTTATTCTGTTCTATTCTTAGCTCTGGTTACTCCTAAAACACTTTTCAAATCCATCTCCCAAATCATAAATAAAGAAATCCAATAATAAACTAAAGGAATCCATGGCTGATAGTTTACTCTTCAGGTTCACACATTTGAAGAGTAATTTTAACACTATTTTCCATAAAGACTCCATGCAATATCAATGTTCTTTATAATAAAAATCCAACCAAACACAAAAACAAACTCCCCAAATTTCAGCAGTCTTTTCAGTAGATTTAAATTTGACTGACAAGGGTGTTAAACTGATATTCTTTTGAAAAACATTGATACTTACACAAACACTAGCACCAAATTAAGAGTAAGAGCTTGGCTGGTAACCAAAAGGTCAGCGGTTCAAATCCACCGGCCGCTCCTTGGAAACCCTATGGGCCAGTTCTACTCTGTCCTACAGGGTCGGTAGGAGTCGCAATCAACTGGACGGCAACGGTTATGGGTACTTACAGTTTAAGTTGACCCACTGCAATCCCTATCATAATTGCCACACATTTTACTGGATTGCTGCAGTTCCCATCATCAAAACTCAGTTTTCTAAACCAAACCATGAAGGCAGGGCCTGGATGTCTCCCTGGTACCCCGATACTGAGCAGCCTGAAAGGAGAGTGCCCTCTCTCTTATTAGAGAACAATGGTAACAGGGTCTAACAAAGGTCCTCCAACTTTGTTGCTATCATACCCCCTAAAAAATTTAAAAACCATGTTCCTATTAGACACACTTTTAAGCTGATATTTAATTTTTCATCATAAGTTTAAAGAATTCAAAAGATGTACTTTCCTGCTAATTATAACTCTTGCTAGGTGCTGTCAAGTCGGTTCCGACTCAGAGCGACCCTATGTACAACAGAACAAAACACTACCCAGTCCTGTGCCATCCTCACATTCATTGTTATTCTTGAGCCCAAAGGGGAGGTGAGAAAGAAGAACATTTAAACTGCAGATGCAGTCTCAGTTTTAGAAAAGAGAAGAACCCTACACTGAGGTCTGGAGAATGACATCCTTAAAGCTATTTCTATCCATCCTGGGAAAGTCTTTGTGAATCCCAGGGCTGTGAGGTACACCCCAGTGTGACGCCCGCTGGCGCTCAGTTCTCTCTACCTTATGTTGTCTGGAAATTAACACAGTTCACGTTACTATTATTAATTTGTTTTTTGGAATAGTAAGAAAGAAGAATAATAGAGTGGTCTGATCTGCAACCAGTCACGCAAACAGCTCAGAACCAGGCAGCATTTTGCTCCATCATGCACGGGGTCACCGTGAGTCGAGGGTCAACTTGACAGCAGCTAACAACAACAATAATAGAGTACAAAGAGCCCTAAATCAACAGTAAAATGAGCAATCATTCATTGAACATTGACTGTGTGCTAGGAAAAGCATTTTATACTCCTTTGATATTATTCCTATCCCCATCTCACAGATGGGGATAACAACTGAGGCTTAGCATCCAAGATCACAGAGCTATCAGGCAGCCAGGCTAGGATCGGCATCCATGTTGGTCAACTCCAGGGCTGACACTCTTATTCACTGCGTTCTATGGATGAGGGACCCCTGTTCTCTATGACTATGAGACCCTTGGAGGTACCCCATTTCAAGGGTGTTTGGGCTATGATCGGTAAGACCCTTTCTGATACCAAGTCTGTAGCAAGTCTCTGTGTTAGAGCATGTGTGCGCTTGGTCCCCCCATATCCTGGGTTATTCTCAGCCTTACCCGCCAGCCTGACCCTGGGTCAGCCCGTCAGTAGGAATTCCTGACTAATAGGGCTTCTTCACACATTTTAAAAAGGGAGGAGAGGGGCCGGAAGAATGAAACCGCTCAGAGCTGCTCCCACCTGGTCAACCCTGAGCAGGCATTTCACATGATTTCCTGCCTGACACAAAGTCCTGACAGACTGACATCCAGGCACCTTGCCCACAGTCTCTCTGGGTGAGTCACCAGCCCCAGTTTCCACTCCACTGGCGTCTCCATTCAAAACTCCTAGTGAGTCCAGACCCGAAATCGTAGGGAAAGAGAACGAGACACCTGGGCTTAGAGGTCTACACAGATGGCAGCCGGTCACCGAGGGATCGAGCACTTCACCCTATCAAAACAGAAAAAACCACAAAGCAAAAACTCCATAGGTAAGGTAGTCGCTCTTGCGAGGGGGAGAGAAGGTAGTTTTGAAAAGGTGTAAGTACGAATGGACAGAATAATCACCACGTGGTTAAGAGCTCGGCTGCTAACCAAAAGGCTGGCAGTTCGAATCCATCAGCCGCTCCTTGGAAACCCCATGGGGCAGTTCTACTCTGTCCTATAGGGTCGCTATAAATTGGAATCTACTCAATGTCAATGGGTTTTTTTTTTTTTTGGAATACTAATACTACAAGTGATAAAATATTTCTTTTGCAAAGAAGACAAAAAAATCAGCAAGAAACCAACACTCGGGGAACGTCTAGCTCAACAGGCGTAACACAGTTTATAAAGAAAATGTTCTATATCCTACTGTGGTGAGTAGCATCTGGGGTCTTAAAAGTTTGTGCGTGGACATCTAAGATACTCCACTGGTCGCATCCCATCTGGAGCAAGGGAGAATGAAGAAAACCAAAGATACAAGGGAAAGATTAGTCCAAAGGACTAATGGACCACAACTACCACAGCCTCCACCAGATTGAGTCCAGCACAACTAGACGGTCCTGGGCTATGACCACTGACTGCTCTGACAGGGATCACAATAGAGGGTCCCGGACAGAGCTGGAGAAAAACAGAACAAAATTCTAACTCATAAAAAAATATCAGACTTACTGGTCTGAGAGAGAAGAGAGAAACCCCGAGAGTATGGCCCCCAGACACCCTTTTAGCTCAGTACTAAAGTCACTCCTGAGGTTCAGCCTTCAGCCAAAGATTAGACAGGCCCATAAAACAAAACGAGACTAAAGGCGCACACCAGCCCAGGGGCAAGGACAAGAAGGCAGGAGGGGACAGGAAAGCTGGACGAATGGAAATGGGGAACCCAAGGCTGAGAAGGGGAGAGTGTTGACAAGTCACAGGGTTGTTAACCAACGTCACAAAACAATATGTGTATTAATTGTTTAATGAGAAACTAATTTGCTCTGTAAACCATCATCTAAAGCACAATAAAAAACAAAGAAACCAGTAGCCCATACAAAACGATTGTCACAGGAAAAAAAAAATGATTCCAGGAAACATCCCTGGGCCCTGCAGCACGTTCAGGGAGCCTGAAGGTTTGCTCTGGGGAGTTATGACAAACAGCTCCTCCTGGCTAGCTGCCACGTGGCTGCTTCTGGGCCTGTCCTGTCCCCACATGTCCTTCTGTCCCAGCCCCTCTATATCCTCTGCAGGACAGGCTCACCCGGTTCTCCAGATCAAAAAGGAATCGTTTTGTCCATCCAAGACCTCCTAGACATTCAACTCTAAATTCAGTAGCACCTGAGAGCCGGGTGCATGGAGATAAGACGATAATGAGCAGACAAGATGATTTCAGAGACGTGGGAGTGTGGAGGGACAAAACCAGAGACAGAGAGGGGTCTGAAAAAACAAAGACTAGCACAAGGCAGAGATAAGAAAATTAAGGATGAGATAAGAACACAGGAACAAAATATCAAGCAGGAATGAAGGAAGGAAGGAGAGAGGAAGGGAGGGAAGGAGAAAATGTATGTGGAGTTTTTCACAGTAAAAAAACAAACACACCAGTTGCCGTGGAGGTGACTCCGACTCATGGGGACCCCATGCGTGTCAGAGGACAGCTGCGCTCCATAGCGTTTTCAGTGGCTGATTTGTTGGAAGTAGACTGCCGGGCCTTTCTGCCAAGGCGCCTCTAGGTAGATTCAAACCGCCAACCTTTGGGTTCAGAGCCAAGCGCATGAACTGTTTCCTCCACCCAGGCACTTCTTTAATAGTAAACGCCTCTGGAAATTTTCCAATTCAAAAACAGCAACCTTATCAGTAAACGTAAATAAAAATCACTTGAAGACACATGCTTTTGTTTTGCACAAACATGCTATTGTTTCATATGTGTCTAAAGCGTGTGTTCATACTTACAGTTTTAAAATTTACACACTTTTTGCAGTTTGCTCACTTTTGCTAAGAGAATCTGAAGTGTTACCAAGTTTATCACATTTCTGCAAGTGTTCCCTTGTTTCTATTCTTGGAAAAGCAAAAATAATACATCAGCTTCTAAAACCTATGCCTCCTATTTTGCTAGCAAAAGTGAAAGAATTCATTTATTTTTAGAATCTATTTTTCATACTGGTAGCTCTGTCTGATCACAAATCGAACACACAGACAGCCAGAACAACACCCCGTGAAATGTCTCTTCTGATCTTTTCACTCCAATTTGTCATCAACCAGAAAAAGAGTTGCCATCGAGTTGATTCTGACTCATAGTGACTCTACAGGACAGCAGAGACTCTGTGGATCACAACAAATTATGGGTAACATTGCAAAGAATGGGAATTCCACAACACTTAATTGTGCTCATGTGGAACCTGTACGTAGACCAAGAGGCAGTCGTTTGAACAGAACAAGTGGATACTGTGTGGTTTAAAGTCAGGAATGGTGTGCGTCAGGGTTGTATCCTTTCACCATACTTATTCAGTCTGTATGCTGAGCAAGTAATCCAAGAAACTGGACCATATGAAGAAGAATGTGACATCAAAATTGGAAGAAGACTCATTAACAACCTTCAATATACAGATGACACGAGCTTGACTG